AATATAAGAAAACAATAGTGACGCACCGATGGTTTTGGAGTCTCAAAGTATCCTATGAAGCCCTGATGAAGGGGGTTTCTTCCAAAACTGATTTGCCTTAAATTTCCATGGAATAAATACTTTTGGATAAATTCAAGAGCGCGTCATTCTTGTTCTCTCTTATTTCCCGGATACTATCCAAGGTGCCTTTTTTTTTTTTGCTCCAGAGATGCCCACTGGAACCCCCGTACCTTTCTCTGCATGCCCAAACAAAAAAGAAACCCCAGATCCAATGCATCTCCCCCATACTCCCAAAACTAGTTAAAATGCCAAATACAATAATAATAATAATAATAATTTTTAAAAAATAAAACTTACATGGAATATCTGATTAGATATTTTGGCAGCCGTGCCAAAATCCCATGCGATAATAGTGCGGTCGGCAGAATCTCGGCTCACAGAGTTTGTTGTGCTAAGAAACTCATTCCCGCCGGGGAGGAAAAGGACGTCAAAGTGTTGCTGCACAGAAGCTTTATACACGTGTATCACCTGTAAAATGAAGATTTCATTATTACTTGCTGTTAAAGTGCCGTGAGATGTATAACCCCCTTACCCCCTGCACACGTTGGCCATACACATGGAAACGTTCAGACGATTTCAACCACTTCCAATGGTGGGATTGGTAAACGTGATGGTAAGAAATCGTCAAAAACTGAGCGATTTACCATCGGCAAGTTCAACCGGCTACCAGAATTCAGTTAAAACTGGAAAGGGCCTTCTCCGCACTGTTGCCATGAGGTGGGAAGTGCACAATTTTGTCAAATGTCTTTGCTGTAGTAATAACAGTTCCCTTCACTGGAAACCCCTGAATCATATGGAGGAGAGTCCACATACTTTTGGGCAATATATATATATATACACACTTAGTGGCCAGATTATTATGACCACCCCATCAATACTTCGTTGGGCCGCCTCTTGACTCCACGAGATGATGAAGGGTGATGCGAGGAATCTGACACGGCACTGTTGTCCTTCTGTTGTCTTGTACCAGTCTTGCCCCTCCCCCGTTCTGCCCTATATATATACATTATATATATATATATATATACATACAGTACATACATTATATATACTGTATTTTTTCATTATTATTTAGTTATTATTTTTCTTTTTAATTATACTTGCACTTTTTGCAGTTTCTGCTTAGTGGGCAGAGATAAAGAAAAACGACTCTTCTGGGCTTGTGTGCAAACTGCCCACACAGTACATTAAAGGCCAGTAAATAGATGACACTAATAAGCACTTGAAGACCCAGGAACTCCCTGTCTGTTCCAGGGGACCACTACTACTCACTGTTTTTTTTACTCAGAAGCAATTAAATGCAACTGTATTTTCGGGAATGACCATCTGAGTTCTGTCCAGGGAACCAATAAAGGAGCAATAGAAAAAAAAAAAAGAACAGCAGTGTGACAACACAGGAAAATAAAAAAAGGGTTTTGGCCATGACTGCGTTCAGCCCTTTGCCTCTGTTACCACCTCTCCTGCTCGGATACGATTAGAGCTGCAGCTAACGATTATTTTCAAAATCGATTAGCCGATTTATAAGTTCGATTAATCGGTTAATAAAATATGATAAAATACATTTTAAAAAATGGCTTCAGTAATGGGATGGCTAGTTTGTATTGAGATTGTAGTCCATCACAGGAGCAAGCTTGGAGCGGTGGAAGTAAAAAAGAAAAAAAAAAATTGGTGTGCTATATAGTGAAATGCAAAGTGTAAAATTAAACAGCAATGAATGCAGAATGGCACCGGCTATCGAGGACTACAAATCCCAGCAATAGTACATTATACAGCACAATGCAGAATACCACCAGCTATAGAGGAATACAACAAATCCCAGCAATAGTACATTATAGCTGGCAGTATTCTGCATTGCGCTGTACAATGTACTATTGCTGGGATTTATAGTCCTCTATACAGAGCAATGCAGAATACCACCAGCTATAGAGGAATACAACAAATCCCAGCAATACATTATACATACAGTGTGTCATGTATTGCTGGAATTTGTATTCCTCTATACAGAGCAATGCAGAATACCACCAGCTATATATAGTTACATAGTATTTGAGGTTGAATAAAGACATTAGTCCATCAAGTCCAACCTATTAGGATCTCATTCTAGGAGTACCTGTACCCCTGTATATTACGGTCCCTTAAGAAATCGTCCAAAAGTTTCTTGAACAATTCCACATTATTTGCTGAAATCACCGCCTGTGGCAGTGAGTTCCAGACCCTAACTGATCTTACTGTGAAGAACCCCCTTCGCCCCTTGTGCTGGAATTTTTTTTCCACCAATTTTAGGTGGTGGCCTCTAGTTTTTGTAACGGAGTTAATTTTAAACAGTTTATCGCTAATGTTGCTACCACCATTGAACATTTTGTACATGGAGATCATATCCCCCCTTAATCTCCTCACCTCCAATGTGAACATGTTTAAATTTAGTAGCTTTGTCTCGTAGCTCTGGTCCTCCATACCCCTAATTAGTTTGGTTGCCCTCCGCTGGACTTTTTCCAACTCAAGGACATCTTTTCTTAGTACTGGTGACCAGAACTGGACCGCGTACTCCAGATGAGGTCGCACCAATGATCTATAAAGTGGCAAAATTATAGACTTGTCCCTGCGACACATCCCCTTCTTAATACAGGACAAGACCCTGCTAGCTTTGTTTACAGCAGCCTGGCACTGCAAACTACCTTTCAGTTTGTGGTCTACAATGACCATAGTCATATAGGAATACAACAAATCCCAGCAATGCATTATACACACAGTGTATAATGTATTGCTGGAATTTGTATTCCTCTATAGTTGATGGTACATTGTGCTGTATAATATAAAGCTCAATGTACCATCAGCTATAGAGGAATACAAATGATTAAACATTATATAAATCGCCTACAAAACGGAAAAACCAGTGACTGTCTCAAACAAATTCTAGGTCTTGGCATTCGTTATCTCCAGTTGAGTTTCTATGCTGTATACGCTCCCTCTGTGCAGAATTCTGCTTTGCACGTGTTCCTTTGTCATGTCAGGATTGCACAGGTGAGCTCTGCCATGGCAAATTATATTTAGAAGACCGGACGGGCTGTCAGGTGTCTGCTTTTCGCGTTCGGGTACAGAGCAGGCTTTTTCTTCTTTAAGGTGTGTGTTCTCGGTGAAGCTTTGTTCTGCTCGGTGTCAACAGCAGCCTTGATTGTGAGAAGGTTAAGTAAAAGTCTATCCTCCAGCGTGAGATATTCTCGCCGCCTGCCACTCCGCTGCTTTAATCAGACGCAGGTTTACTTCCTCCGAACCTCCGCATAGGATTCTGCCTTTAAATGTATCCGGGCAAGCAGCAATCCGAGATAAACATGTGATCTTGTCGCGTCTCTAAATAATGGTAATTCAGCCCTCTGGTTTCTTTTGTTTCACCTCAACGCGGAATAAATATTAAGTGGTGAACTCCAGGCAAGTATACCAAAAGTTTGCTTTTAAAGCCCAAAAAATCCACAACGCCGCCCCCCAGAGGTGGGTCCTATTCCGTACCGCCACATACAGTATATGCCTTGCTTTCCTGTGCTCATATGCCAGCAACACTGT